TGCAGTCTCGAAAAGGACAAACCTTACATGAAAAAAAAAAAAAAAAAAAAAAAAAAAAAAAAAGCAAATCCTCCAAACTCAAGCGTTTGTTTTACTAATTTCATACGGTCAATAAACCTCCCCCGACTAGAATAAACACACTTCATATGCAAACAAGTTAGAACTTAGAACCGGCGCACACAGTGGTAGTGCCAGTGCCCCGACGGCAGTTGGAGGCGTTTGTCCGACACAGCAATACCTGTGGAATGGGAACCACTGCGTTCTTACTCGCTGAAATTTCACACACAAGCTCCAAGAGCCCTCCGAGAATGAGATCCATTACCCCCTGGTCTTGGCCCTCTTCATGCCAAGACTGTTGTGGAAGGGAGAAACGGAGCCAGACATCGGAGAACCCTCCTCGCGAAGGGTTCCGTTCAGCATTGCCAACTCCCGCAGCTGCTGCTTTTTGTAGAAATCCTGGGATTCGTCCTAATGACAAAATCGAGAAAACATCACTATATATACACTACATAGAATAAATTACTGGGGCAATAGAATTTATAACAAGAAAATGGGGAACTTACAATTGGCTTGAGTAAATCTTCAAGTATCTCGCGTGCTTGCATTAGACGAGTATCAACTATTTCAACTGGTAGCTCCGCCTCGACTAGAATATGGAGAGGTTCATTCAAATGCTCATACCCTTGTTTTCCTCTCATCATTTCTTCCTGTAAAACATGAACAACGGAGTAATGTCTCCATTTATATATAACATAAGATATTCAGAGTAAGAATTGTTAAAACAATCAGGAATGGAAATCATCGAAAAAAGGGAGACTTGTAATTACCCTAGTTGGATCCTTTATGCTACCACGACCTCTGATCAAAACACGGCACTCAGTCGTTGCTTCCACTCGCTTAAGAGAGTTTCCTCTTGGACCTAGAAGACGCCCAACAAAGTTATACTGCAAGAACAAATCAATGTCAAACTCTCAATTCAACAAAACTGCCCCGAGGAAAAAAAAGGCAGAATTCAATTAGTACGTTAGGGTATTTATCAACCGGGATGTCCACTCTCATTGTTCTTTTAGCGATTAGTCCCGATGAGCTGCCTTGAGGACTCAGCCAATTTTTGGTTGAGGAGGGCTGTAATAAACTCGACATCTGAACATTATGATAAAAGCCAAGATCCTCAAATGAGCAAGTGCAAAAGAATTTCGTAGGATAAATCTTGGAATATGAAAAACTTGAGAGGAGAAAGAAATAATGAGTGAACAAAAATGCATCTTAGCGGTACAAATGAAACAAATAATATTTTCTGTAATTGTATAACACTAATTCTGCAAGCTTGTATATCTATACTAGAATAAGTGCTCAAACCAAGATGTTCCTTTTATTTTGTCACCAAAAGCAGTCTCAACATTCATTCCCTTCTCATTTTTCTTTCCTTTTTTCCCCCTTAAATATAGAACAGCTGATTAACCAGAACATTAATTAATTTTTGTAAAAGAAAAACTAATTTCTACAAACCCCAACTATCTCAAACGGGGTTAGTAGCACTATTTACAACAATAAGTAAACACCAACTATCACAAGACTTATATATATCGGTTGGGCAATTCCTTTTCAGTATTCTGAGTCATGCTTCCACTGTAGCAGGAATTGCAGTCTTATGTCAGAAGTAAGATAAATCAACTTCATCCTTACAACAAGATAAGAAAGAATAGAGAACCATCTAAGATCTATTATTCATTGCTTGTTGATGTTAGCTTCAGACTACCTGTCAGTCAATTGCAAGCACTCAAACAAATGTTAATAGTTAGAATGAAATGTAAAAGATCGTGTCAGGAATACTTCTAAAATACAGTAAAATTAGAGGGAAAATAAGGTTATGTTAATGGTTAGTATCCGTACTTCTGATTGGAACCGTGATGCCCATCCGTTCACATCAGCACCTCCGTTTGAAAATATTCCTCCAGAAGCCAGGGGGCTCGCATGTTCAAGCCCACTTTGACCTAAAACTGATGCTTTCCCCAACAGTGTGGTTACACGCAATATTTCTGCTCCAAAAATGTCAATTTTCAAGAATAAGATGTACCAGTCAGCATTAGTCAAAAAGTTAGATGTCACCAGAAAATGGATAGACAACACGGATTTTCTCCAAGTCAGTTAAAATCAAAGCCTCCCCTATAGTAATAGAATTTTCTCAACAAATTTAGTCAATAATCCAACAAATAATATGAAAAGACAGTTATGTAAATACTACTACACACACATGTTAAAAGCTACAAGGTTCATTACTATACGGAAAAAGAAGAAATGAGTAACCTTAAATTTTGGGAAATTGATAGAGAAGAACAATTGCGCTTGGAAAAAAAAAAAAAAAAAAAGACTCAAAGTTACAATCCAAAAGACTCAAAGACTCTTCAAATAGGAATATGGAATATAAAATTTTCCGAACTTTGGAAGTATAAAATAAGATTAGTTTATGCATATGTATATATATATATATATATTGGATAAGAAACTGAAGATCAGTTCAAAATTTCTAGTTAAGAAAGCCTTTGCCCCAATGGCCTAAAGCCTATGGTATCAAAGTCCCTCTTCATACAATTGGCAGGACAACCTATCCTACCAGGCCCATCTAAGAACGTAGAAATTATCGTCTCTTATGAGATGGCCAAAAGTCTATGCAACAAATATCCTCAAACTATAGAACAAGCCTCTGAGCTGTAGCATCCGCCACCTGTAAACTCCTAACAGAAGGTAGATCCCCTCCTTTCTGGGGTCAATGCTTATAAATCTCAATTGTCTACTCTTTCTAGACTCAGATAACGTTGGTGAAGGCTAATCACCCGATTTCTTCAACTAACTTCACAAACTTAATCAGATACTACTAATACACTAAGAAATGGTTATTGACTGAAATAAAGTTCTAAAACCCATTTGACCTGCAAATTAGAGCCTTAGGTCCTATGTCATCAACCATCGATCTAACATGCGAAGATTGTAGACAATTATGGTCGCCAATTGCAATTAAAGCAGCAAGAGAGAGTTAACACCACCTTAGAAAGTAAAGGAGGAAGATTAAATTTAAATAATGATTAATGACACATTATCTTATACCAGATTTAATTCTTGTAGATGCCAGAAGTTAGGAACTTGGTATGCATAATCCTTTAAGCACTATAACTTTTTATTGAAACAAAACAAGTAAATGTAACATCTTGGAAATTATGAAAACCATTGACGCTTTCAACGTTAGAGATGCACTTTATACTAAGAACTTCCATCCCATGGAACTGATTAAAATAGGACAAGGAACAGGTGATCACAATAAAACATATTGCACCAGTATCTGAGACACCTCCGGAGGTTTCTCATTTAGCTAAAGCTAAGACGTAAAAGAAAACAGAAAAACTAACCTCGAGCATTGTCCTAAGAAAGATGAAAGGCCCAGATATAACATAAACCAAAAATATCTCTCTAACTATTTAGACTTGCACCGACACGTAGAAGGATGTAAAAAACTTCCGTCTAAAAGAAGTAACCAGTGAATCAATTATTAGGACAGACTGGAATTCACATGCAGCAAATAATTATGCTGTACTCATTGTCTGATCATTTCTGGCCCACAGAAATGCAACCACGAAATTCTTTGAGAAAACAAACCGGGAATACTAACTTGACTTTATTGTCCTAAAGTTTCTTGTTTGAGGGAGAAAAGTCAGTTGCAGACTTTGAACATAGAGGGTCATTAACGCAATTCATCTACCTACACCATTTAGACCACCAATATTTCCAGAACTTAGCATGTTACTACCCATCAGTAATTTCTAGTCAGATAAAAAAAGGGGGTTAAAATCTATAATCAAGCATAATTGCTCTTGATTCACTCAGCAAGGGAATTTGACCTCACTAACAATTTTGCTTCATTTTTCATTTATGTTTTGTCCTTTTCATCTAATTTTTAATCATGGGGTGTGCATTTTTGTTGACCAATTATTGCTTGTTGTTATTCAGACCAATTCCCAGTTTTGCTTTTTTTAAGCAAAAGTCATAATAATGGCAAGCTTAAACCTAAATTGGGGTATCCTGAACTTACCCTGGCTTAACAACTTGTAGCAATTTGGAAGCACGGGCATGAATGGACTAAGCTTGTGACGCTCAGCGAGTAACTCCGATAAATATCTGCAACCAGAAAAACAAAACAACTTAAACAATGGTCACAGCCAAGCCTTAGAAGATAAGATAAATATCATTCCAACCCTTTTTTAGTAATAAGAAACAAATTTATTGATACTGAAAACAGTTAAAGATTAAAGAAGAATAGAGGACAAGGAATCCACTAGAGAAACAAGAACAAAAACTAAACAAGTAAAAGTTAACAGCTCAAAATATCAATAAAAATTAAAGTTTTCAAAACTTAAGTAATTCATCAAAGACAAAGAAGCAACAATTTTGAAACACGATTATTACAATCAGGTCATGTGATAGGCTCATAATATCTGATAAATACGTTAACTAAAACAACATAATCAGATCAAGATATCCAAAGACATGAACTTTAAAGATGTAAAAACACAAAGCGATTCACTTGATCACAGTGGAGGAATTCTCAATTATTACTGGATCGCGCTGAAAAATCTTCACTGATCCGATTGAAGTAGTTCAGTAAAAAGTAGCTGAAAGCTCAAAAACTCGAAACCGATCTTCTCGTTGAAACAAAATCTAGCGTGAAAAAACGAGCAAGACCAGATCTTGATACTTGAAAAAGGATCTCAGCGAAGAAAGCGGAACCGATTTTTCTCAGCCGCCAAACAGCCAAAAAAAATTGAGAAATCACAATCGCGATCACCGCACAAGCAAAACAGAAGAAAATGAACACATCGATAATCAAACCGACTGATTTTCTCAGCCGCCAAACAGACAAACGATCAGACGCTTAAGAAACCGCAATCACAATCATCGCAGACGTTCAAACCGAGAATCGAAGCAAACAAAAAGCATCAGGTAATGCATCAACGGAAAAAATAAAATAAAATAAAACACAACATCGAGACAGAGAGAGAGAGAGAGAGAGAGAGAGAGAGAGAGAGCAAATACTTCTCTTGCTCGACAACGAAGGCGGCGGAGGAGGAGGCGGCGGAGCGGAGGCCGGAGACGGAGAGGTGAGGGTGAGGGTGAGCGTGAGGGTGAGGGGAAGGAGAGAGAGGCGCCGAGGGAGACGGCGAGTACGCCATGTACCTTCCCGTCGATGAAGTCATCCTATCTTCTTCTTCGTCGTCTTCTTCTTCTTCTTCTTCTTCTGGCTTCTCTTTCTCTCTCTAGTTTCTCTCTCTAACAAATACGATGAATGATGATCCCAGACCAGAAGCTCTCTTCTCTCTCAATCCTCACCTCACCAAGCGTCGGTGGATTTTTCGTATTTATATTCCCCACCAACCCCTCCAAAACAAATTAAAAAAAAAATGTCTGACAGTTTACTGTAACTTTGTACGTATCTTTTTTCCTAACTTTTTTTTTTCCTTTTTAATGTCGTTTTCTTTTTTTTTTTTCCTGAATAAGATATTCTACACATTTACTCCTCAATTTACATAATTTTAGTAATTTATCTTTTAAATTTTTAATTTAAGTAATTTTTTTAATTTATAAAATTATTACAATATGTACCATTTTGATAATTACGTTAAACTTGTATTAAAAAAATACGTTCGACAGAAAATTTTAACATGTCAATTTAAATGTAAAATAAACATTATAATTTCTTAATTTTTAATATCTTAAATCTTATAACAAATTTGAATAAATTTAATAAAATAGGGTACATTACATAATTTTATAAGTTCAAAAGTTGATTATCAAAATTAAAAATTTAAAAGGCAATTTATTAAACCACATTCTTGACGATAATTGCGTTAAAACCCCAATAATTAATGTTGTTTGGTTTAGCCAAATTATTTATAATCAACGTGAACGACAAGTATAATGCGGAGTCTACGACATGATGATGAAACGTTCCACGTGCTATTTGTAAATCCGGTATCGAAATTGGAACAACAAGGAGAAACTTGTCGTTCTCTACTAATATTTGGTAGGAAGAAAAGTAAAGAAAAGAAAACTTGTCAATATTTCACTGGCCATTGTATTATTAAAAAAAAAAATTGAGAATTTTTATAGAATAGGACTAATTTATGTATACATATATACATATAGATATACTTATATAATATTCTAGTTAAAAGTATCTTATAATGTATTATAGCTTTTGTTTTCTTTTTATTTTTGTTCTTCTTAACTTTAAAATACAAATTTAAAAAAGAATTAATAATAATAATTATGGAAGTGGAAAATCTTTAATTATATGTAGTGTAAATCAAAAGATTTAAAAGTAGTTATATTATTTAATTCTTAGACATTTTTAGGTGGGTCTGTTGCATTTAGTTGAGAACTGAAAGGATAAAAGATTATTAGGATATGTATTCAAAATAATAAATGTTGATTTTTATTGATAATTGATATAAATTAATAAATACAAAAATAAATAAAGAAATAAAAAACTGAGGACAAAAGTGTATAATCAAACTATAGGGCAGGAAAAGACCTAAAAATTCCTAGTAAGAAAGGGAGAAGAATGGGAAAAAAATGACAAAACTCGACAATTCAAATTAAAAGGGTAAAACCGGTATTCTATTGTATTATGTAAAATAAATCATGTCTCTTCTTTAGTATATATATAATAATATGAGGAATTTAGATCAATTAATGAATTGAGTAAATAGTAAAATCATTGAAAGGATCCCAAATCCCAATTTTAATCCTTATTCATCCACTTAATTGCGTGTAGATTTAAAATACTTTATTACCCCTTATTATTATTTTTAAAAAAATCGGGAAATGTTTTTTCTGTCAACTACCCTCACCCTATTTAAAGAAAGGAGAAGACGGGTCGAGAAATTCCTATTTAAGGGATATTTTCATACAGATCCTAATACCCAAATGATATTTAACATTGATAAAAAAAAAATTTTGATAATTTAAAACAAATAAATAAAAATATCATTTGATAAAATTTTTTTTGATAATTTAAAACAAATAAATAAATTTAAATTCATCTTAAATTCAATCCAAACTCAATTTTCTTATGAAACAAACTCATTTCCACAATACTTATAGAAAATGATATTAGGAATAACTTTTTCTTAAATACATATATCAAAGTGTAGGTGGGATAGAGAATTCCATCGTCCTCATCCCAATCCCGACTCGAAGAGGGGTAAGAAACTGTCTTGATTTACGTCTATTTTTTGTGAGAGAAAATAATGTAGCGAATCACGAATCATGATACGGATCCTTGCTCCAAATGCACACTCAATATCTGCCCCAAATCTCATTAGCAATCTCTAATCAACCACCTTATTTAGGGGGAATTATTATTATTTTCCTTCATTTCACACCTACACACAATACGAATTTGTATGATAAAAGAGAAGTGGAAGTAAACACAGGGAAGAGACTTTTGGATCCATGGTTGTTTTGCTATAAATTATTAAAAAAAAGAGTATTGGCTTAGGTAAGAAATTTACCATCCTATGAGAACTCTCCAATTTGAAAATATTCATACATAAAACTTGTTCACATAATCGGATATGGTGTCAATATGCTTAACTATCCCTTGTTATTGAAGGAAAGTAAAGTAATCAAGGATAAAATCTTAATTGTAAAAATAAGAGTTCGTTTGGTACGATAATTTAAATTAGGGTAATTCTAATCATGATTCTAAAATTAGAACCATGATTCATGATTTTGAGTTCAAATCATAATTCTGAAACCATGATTCAAAATCAAGAGTTTGAATCACCTTAAATCAAGAGGATGGTGGTTTTAGAATCATGATTTGAGTTAATTTAAAATATCACATCAAATGCTGAATAATGATTCAGAATCATCCAAATCAAATACTGATTCTGAATCATAATTCATAATCACTGTAAACAAATACTGATTATGAATTATGATTCAAAATCATAATTCTATATTCATCTACCCGTAAATTTTTTCTCCATTTCCTTGCATCTAATATCTAAACCAATTAATTATTTTTTTTTCTTTTTTTTCCCCTCCCTATGGCCTTTGCCTTCCACCTTTCTCTCCTTTTTTTTACTTCTCTATTATATTTCTCTTTCCTCCGTCCCTACCGAACAAGGCCTAAAAGAAAAGATGCATCCATCTCCATTTCCCTCACTTACAACTTCTCTCTACTTTTTATTTTCTCTCCAAAAACAATGGGAAGCTATTATGAAGAAAACGACATTGTGATCATTGCCTCGGAGAAACCGAAGGTTGAAAATTTGAGAACCAACAAAAATTACAAAATCACTCTTATGCTACAAGAAACTAGTTTAGTTGCGCTTAATTACTTCACCTATAACAACAAACACTAACACAACAAGACCCGTTTATTCATAAATTTGACTAGAAAATTTGATAAAAATAAATTTAAATTTTTTTTATGAGATTGAATATTATTGCAAGAATATTTAAATCACGATTCAAATCCTAAAACTAAACATGTGCTACGCAATCAAATAGTACCATTCAACGAGTCATAGTGCAAAGCCGCGCAATAAATGGTGTGATAAAAACTCAATCAAATTGAAATGAATAATATTGTGCACCACAAACTCAATGGGGGTAGTTGAGACGTTGTTTTTATGGGGTCTCTATAAACAACAACGTTCCACATCTGTTATAATAATAAATAACAATAAAAAAAAAAACCTATCTTACATTCATATTTAGTCATACACACAAGGTTGATATATATATGAATTTAGGTAATAATTTCAAAACTTTTTAGGTATCATATTACATGTTTGTTTAGACATTTGAGTGCATTGTTTAATGGACTTTGACCAACGACTTCGTAACAAGACTAATCATTATTGATTTACTATTTCAACAATGTTATAAGGTATCCGTAGAGTTAAGAATCCCGTAAGTTTCGCTCTTTCTCGTTAAAAATTTGAGTTAAAAATTTAAATTAAAAAATAAATTTATGTGAGAAAAAACACAATAATAAAAAAAGTTGAGTTTAAATTTTTATGATAGAATAAACTATAATAAAAACTCAAATTGTGATTTGAATTAGTAAAACAAACTGACTTATTTCCACAAATACAGCGATGGAATAAAACTGTCACGTGGTAAATCTCAAAAGCTTAAGTTCCATGTTGTTATATGTGTCCACACACATATATGAAATCCTTATACACGTTTGTGTGTGCAACAATTGGTTCGCTGAATATAACATTCAAAAAATATATAGTCTAATATATGTGAAATTGAGTATTACACTTAAAAAAATCAAATATTACTCACGATGTTACACAAATACGAATAAAAATTACATTTACCAAATTATAAGGTGCCAGATGTAAAAGATTTAACCACTCTATGTATAATGATAGTATAAGAAATCATGATAAATGGCATTTTACCATTTGTATTGCATAATTTAGGCTGCGAGATTAAATCAAAACTATACCAAAATTGGTTGTGTTTAGAGTTGTTTTTGTTTTTCACGTTTTTTTAGAAAGAAAAAATAAAAACAAGAGAGAAACAACGTTTGGCAAAATTAAAGACAAAAAACGAAAATGAAAACGATTTTTTGATTTAGTGTAAAATGTGAGAGAAATGAAAAATGACTTTTAGATGTTTTTAATTATTTGTTTTCGTTTTCTCCTCTCTCGAACACAGAGAGAGATACATTAATAGATTTTTTTATATTGAAAATAATCTCTTGATAAAACTACCAAACGTATTTTTAAAAATAATTTATGTCTAAGATTGAAAATGTTTGCATTTCTATTTTCATAAAAAAAATAAAAAATCACTTTAGAATGAGTTTCAAACACACCCATTATAATTTGCATGTGTGTCACAAAAGCACATGGTCCACGTTCTAATCTTGTGAGGTTTGATTTTTCCTGACTACTTTTATTGTTTCTTGTCAATTAATGTTGAATATTTTGTTGTTAGCAATATAGTTGACCAGCCACAATAAATAAATATACAAATAACTAAATGTGTACATATATATATATATGTGTGTGTGTGTGTTATTTTTAAGCAGACAATATTTACGCATATTATAGTGCAGGTTTCCTCCTGCATCTATTTATTTAGGTTATTTTTCTTAACAAAACGTCATCAACGATATTTTAATTTGGCTTATATGCTTAGTCTACCATCACATTATTTTCAGGTTGTTTTCTCACCATTAAAGCTAACATATAATTCTCAGGGAAAAAGAAAGGCAAACATACAACACAAAGGGAAAAAAAAATTATGTGGTACGATAACTAGTCTATCGATGCTCTTGTGCAGCTTCTCTCTCTCTCTCTCTTCCTCGGTTGCTGCTATGAAAAGTGCTATTGTGCAAACCCCTCGTGATCTTTCACTAAATTTCATTAGATTTACATCCTCTTTTTAATTCTAATGCAATCAAAACTTGATAGATTTTTATATGTTTGTCTAATTCTAATGATTTAACTACACTATAATTATAGGAAATATCTTAATTCCAACATTCAGATGAGTCTGGAAGGCTTTTTTTTTTTTCCCAGTATTCTCGTGTAACATCATTCATTTGTACGTGTAATGCTTAATTCACCTAAGTGTAACATTCAAAAAAATTATAGTCTAACACATGTAATATTAAGTATTTGTCGAACTGTACGAGTGCCGTATTTGAGATTTTGCCTATAATTATATTGAATTTTATTAAGTTTATAATTTTTTTTTATTTTTTTAGTCCATCCACCTCAATCATAGGTTAATGATTCGAGTCACTCTGAGCTCCACTTAAAAATAGTGGCATTTTCCCACTCCTTGTATCAAAAAATATTTATTTAAATATAATTTTAATGTGACGTGACATATAAAAAGACACAATAAATTCTTACCTTTTTAGCAATATACATAAGAGAAAATTGATAAACTTTTCCTAAAGTACATGAGTCTAGATTTTTATCTTTTATTCTCACTTAATATTTTTTTGACTAATATAGTTATTTGTCTAAAAAAATAGAGAAAATGTAAGTACTATCATTTTTAATACGTCTAATAAAGTAAATAGTGCATCTTTTTTAAATGCTGATAGATTATAGCATATCCACAATTTTCATTTTAAAATAAATTATACTTTTCTAAATTTAATTTCTCTAGGGATTCATTTTTTCCCTTTCTCAAACTTTCCATAGCCGACAATCCCTCCTTTTTCTATCCAATCTCTCCTCCCTCCCTTCCTCTTTCATTTATCTTTTCTCTCTCCATGTCTCTCATCGCGATTTGCTTCAGAAGAGGACTGCGTGTTCAGTGATGATGCAAGTCGACGGTGAGGTGGACTTTGAAGTTGTCCTTTTGTTTGTACATTATTCGTACATGCTATCTACGGATATATATTTGGTTTATGGATTCAGAATCATCATTTAAAACTATTCTCGATTTACGTGTATTTTTTGTGAGAGAAAATACTGTAGCGAATGACGAACCGTAATTCGAATCATGGTACGAATCCACCAATCAAACGCTTTTCTGTTTCTGTTTCTTATTCTTTTTACATTTCATGCATAGGTTATTTGTGTTCATTTGCTTAGAAAAACTGAAAACCTAAATCTCGTTTTTCTTGTCATTTTGTTTTGTTGAATCTTGGGATCCTTATAGAGACCCCACTTTTACTTCCTAATCAATGTGGGACTAAGTCAAGCCTAATAAACATCTCAAGCATCCGCAGTTGTTCCAGATCTACAAGAATTGATCCTTTAGAGTCCTAAGAAGCAACTGTTGCTCACTCCCATAGGCTTAGTTTAATATTACTTTTTCATCCCAAAATCAGCTTCTATTTGTAGCAGAAGTTGATTTTAGTGTTTGGTAAATCTTCTCAAAAGTGCTTTTTGAAGAATTTTTCAAGAATCTACAGTCAAAATTAGAAGTAGTCTAAAGACAACTTTACGTTTTGGATTGTGCGGGAATCAACATAGTACAATTAATGAAACTTTCATAATACCCATAATACTTCTAATAAAATTTAAAATTGACAATCTTCCCAATTTAAAATTCAGACTCGTAATATAATATAATATGATATAATAGTAATATTGTAACAAATAATATCATAATTATATTAATAGCTTTAATATTATTATTTTATCATATAATTTGATATTATGATAATATTATAAATATTTTAATAATATGATATTGTAATTATTATTTTATAATATATTATATATTATGTTATATTGATATTATTATATTTATTATAATAATAATATTATAATAATTAATATAATTAAATTTTAATATAATATTATAATTCTAATAATGTTATTATATATTATAGTGTATTACACACGTTATAGTTATATAATATATTAATTATAATATATTTCTTTAGATTAAATATATTATATTATACTTTAATATAATATAATTGTTATTTTTAATTATTTTAGTTATTATTTTAATAATATTATTATTTTCTATATCATAATTATAGAATATATTATATAATAATAGTTTTTTATTATATTAAATATAATAATAAATATATATTATATTGTAATTATATATATTATATTATATTATAATATAATATAGTCATAATATTTAATTATCCAAAGAAATTTAACCTCATAATTTACCAAACGCAATTACGTTGATTTTAGAACCAACATAGCTACTATAATTATAGTTTACCAAATACTCAGCTGCTTTTTTTAACAGTTGCTTCTTCCTTTAATACAACTAAAAATAATTTTTTTAAAATCTACAGCACTACCAAACTAAACCATAATAGACTGTAAACAACTGCTTATCATGGGCCATCTCCATTATCTTTGGCCACTTCAAGAAGAAATGAAAATAAAATTAAAAAAAACAAAGAAAATAAATTTTGAATATAAAATTAATTAAAAAAAAGAAGGGTAAGACTTTGAACAATAAATAGGCTTTTGGGAATTGGGGACTTTGGAAGATGCTAAAAGTATGTGTAGATTATAGTATAACATGGAAGTGTACCGGGGGACAGCTATTATTTGAACAATGTATTAAAACAATTATACAGATCATGGAATCGACTCCTAAGTCCCCTAATTCTTATCCTTCCTAATGTCTCTTTAATAATATATGTCATGTCAATTAAAATGTTATATCATATCATAAAAAGTTATAATAGTTAAAATATTTTAATTTTAATTGACGTGACATATGATTTTAATGCATGGACATAAAAATGAAACATGAATAAGAAAACATATGAGCTCAATCCTATAAGTCATAGGATACATGAAAATGAGACATGAATAATGCGACATACGAGCTCAATCCTATAAATCATAGGATGCCATAAAAGCATACAACGGTGTAAGAAATATATTTTTCTAAACGTGCTCTTACTTAAATGTTTTTTTACTGTAGTTTTTTTAAAGTATTTTTTTCCACGTGGTACTGATAAATTCATTTTTTTTCTTTTTAATTTTCTTATTGAAATAATTAACTTTTAAATGTGTATCTACTTAAACAATTTTTTTTCTCATAGCCCTACCAAAACTATTTGCTTCACTTTTTTTCTTTGTTTATGATGTAAAAAATTTAAACTCTATACCTTATAATGGAGTAGCGTGTGAAATTGTCATCAATCAATCATAAATTGGGAGGGTTTTCTTCTACAAGGAAACAAAAACTTTCGAGAACAAATATTGGACCGGAAAGAAAAAAGGGGAAAAGTAAAGAAAGAGTGCATATGACAGGAAAAGGAAATTCGATTTTGGTAAGACTTGATCTGAATCGTAGTTCAGATATTTAGAGTTTCGTTTATTTTACCGATTTGAGTTTTTAATTTTAAGTTTTTACAGTAAAAAATTTTTAAAAAATTTCACATTAAATTTTTTCCCTTATAATGGAGTAGCGTGTGAAATTGTCATCAATCAATCATAAATTGGGAGGGTTTTCTTCTACAAGGAAACAAAAACTTTCGAGAACAAATATTGGACCGGAAAGAAAAAAGGGGAAAAGTAAAGAAAGAGTGCATATGACAGGAAAAGGAAATTCGATTTTGGTAAGACTTGATCTGAATCGTAGTTCAGATATTTAGAGTTTCGTTTATTTCACCGATTTGAGTTTTTAATTTTAAGTTTTTACAGTAAAAAATTTTTAAAAAATTTCACATTTAATTTTTTTTATAATAATAAATTTTTTTAAAAAAATATCACATTTTAATTCAAATTAAAAATTTAAATCCACGAACCGATCAAAAGTCAGTTCAAAGAAGACGGCCAGAAAAATCACCCAATGGTTAGTCTTTTCCTTCATTTATTCCTATAAAAAAATTGGGAGGAGTTGCACATGTCCGAGACGGACACAACTTCTTCTCAGTTAGAAAACCACTGGACAATATCTACAATCACCACTATTTTAAAAACATTATTTTTTTACTTTTGTTTTATCTCTTCCCTATAATTCATTTCTTTTACATTATAATCCCTTTTAAAAATTTTACATTCACTTGTTTAAAAATTTAACAAACTAAATAACATGTATATCATAAAAATGTAAACACAAACAATTGCCTTTTCATAACCCATAAAATTTTCAAAACTATTCAAGGAGTAATAGGAAAAAAGGAAATAATAGTGCAAAAATATAGAAAAATTGTATTGCATAGTAAATTTTTAAAATTAAATTAAGTAAATAATATATTTTAAAATTATTTACAAGTAAATGATATTTTACGTAATGAATGGATAATTTATTGTGTAAATATTTTTATTTACGATAGATAAAAAATAATTTAGTAGTAAGAATCTTATTCATTTCGTTGATTTGAGTTTAGAATTTGAGTTAAGATATAATTTTATATGAGAGTTTTTTACTGTAATAAAAAAATTAAATGTGATTGTTTGTTATAGCTTTTTATTATAAAAAAACTCGAATTCTAAACTCGAATCAGCGAAATGAACGGGCCTTAATTTATCAGGAAAAAAATAATTTTCCCGCTAACGGTGTTCCTGCTAATCATATTCTAGAGAGAGGAGAGAGAGAGAGTTGCAGAGAGAGAAATGGAGGAGACAATTCCCTTTAAAAATCTCCATAGCAGAGAGTATCAAGGTCACAAGAAGAAGGTTTCTCTCTCTACCTCTCTATTTCTCTCTCTGTCTAATTCCTAAAGATTTCATTTTTCTGTTCAGCCTAAATTATACTAATCGATTCGTGCTTCGTTTTGTTCTCGATAATCGAATCGCGAAAAGGTTCATTCCGTGGCTTGGAACTGCAATGGCACTAAGCTCGCCTCGGGTTCCGTGGATCAAACGGCTAGGGTTTGGCATATTGAGCCCCACGGACATGTAAGCTTCTTTATCGACATTCTCCGTCTTATCCAATTATGTTTCCTTTGGTTGCATTGTATTTTAGGGTTTGAATTTTTCCTTTTTGTGTTTGGCGAGCTGGAAAATCTTGTTGGATTTTCTATGTTTTGATAATGAAGCAGTCAATACTTTGTTTCAATTGCTTGTGAATTTTAGTTTAACATCAAGCAAATATATAAAATAATAATAAAAGAACCCGTAAATATCAATGTGTACATGTGTAAAGTTGAAGTTTTTCTCTGTCCATTGATTCAATTCATAGCTGAATTAGGAATTTCCCTTGTAAAGATGGAGCTTTTCGATGTTCATGAGAGTTTGAAGCTAGTGGGAAATAAGTGGTGTCATTTCGGAATTTTTGTGGATGTTGGTGTTTAACACCAAATCTTTAGCAAAAAATTGGGAAAAAAAAAGGATTAGTACATGAAGATTAGGCTTTTTCTATCTATTGGTTCTAATCATAGCTGGATTAGGACTTCCCCTTGTAAAGATGGGATTTTTGGAAGTCCAGCGGGTTTTTGGGAACAAACTACTTTAGGCTTTTGAAAGTAGATGGTGTTCATGAGGCTTTCATTTGTTTTAGGAATGGCTTTTCCTGTTTTGGGCTTTCGCTCTCTGGGAAATTTAATGGATTGTCTCTGTTTCATTATGCACTTTTCATTATTTTGGTTCTAAACCAAGATTAATACCTACGTGGATAAAGCTGAGGCTTTCTCTGTCCATTGATTCTACTTGGAGCTGAATCAGGACTTCCCATAGTAAAATGACGAGCTTTTGGAATTCCAGTGAGTGTCACTCTTTGGAATTCTTTGGATTTAGAGTTTAGGGAACTATTACTTGTAGGATTTTGAGAGCAGATGACATCTACGAGATGTTCAAAGATGTTGTTTTATAAGGGAAAGACATGCCCTTCATTCAAGTCTCTTTTTTTTGGTCGCCAAATTGCAGGAAGCATAACTTTTTTAAATCCAATCCTAGATGTTATACCCTAACCTATGCTATTTTTTTTTTTTCCTTTTAGCTTTGTTTGGTGAGCTGCCGTAAGTTTAGAGGAGATTTTAATACTTCCTAGGCAGACGCATGATTTATTTGGGGGAAAAAAGTTTACTGGGTCTTGAAAATTTGTGTTCTTCTTGTCACGTCATTCTTATTTGAAAGACAAAAAGGTTGCAAGGGCATCTTCGTCCATATTGTTGGTGACATTGTTTTTTTACAGGTTAAGGTCAAAGATATTGAATTGAAGGGACACACTGACAGTGTGGATCAGCTATGTTGGGATCCTAAACATGCCGATCTAATTGCAACTGCATCAGGAGACAAGACTGTACGTCTGTGGGATGCACGTAGTAAGTTATCTTGCTTTTCATATGCATTTCTGACTTTTGAGTGTTGTGGATAGGCTAGATCAACCTGAAATTTCGGGTTGAAATGTTCTTTATAGTGGTAGAGGTATCAATTTGGTACTATGGTACTTAGGCAGCATTAACGAGATTACTTAAGGGCTCGTTTGGTTCATAGGTTTGAACAGACAAGTGTGAATAGAAATTTAAATTTTGTGATAGAAAACACTGTAGCAAAAAGGTTTGAACAGTTGTTCGAACCTATAAAACAAACAAGGTGTAAGTTTGCTTTCATCATGCAGGTGGAAAATGCTCGCAACAGGCAGATCTTAGTGGTGAGAACATTAACATCACCTACAAACCGGATGGCACATACATTGCAGTTGGTAATAGGGTATGTTATATCTAAAACCTGGTTATGCATCTGTAAACCCTTGCAAACTTTTGAGTCGCCTGTCTATGAATATTTCAATGTTGGACTCCGACTATTTGTTACTTGTTAGTCACCAATTATGTTAGACACCATTGGTCCAATTTCGATCTTGAACTAGCGTTTTCTGTGTTTATGCCTGAGCATGCTAGGAAGGCTGGCATCAATTAATGATATGCTGCTTTTTTGCCTTGAATGCAGGATGATGAGCTAACAATTTTGGATGTTAGGAAATTTAAGGCAATTCATAAGCGGAAGTTTAATTACGAGGTAATTTTATACCCAATAAGAAGCATATGCTAGCTCTCTCTTTTCTATTATCCTTAAAATGTTGAAGCTTGATTTGCGTCAGTTTTCCCTTGCATCAAATTCTTCTTTAGCAGTTTTCTTCTTTTCCAGGTAAATGAGATTGCTTGGAACATGACAGGCGATATGTTCTTTTTGACAACTGGAAATGGTGAGAAAATTCTGTTTTGAGAAATATATGTGTGTGTGTGCTGGAATAATGACTTGATTTTATGTTTTCTGTTCAGGTACTGTTGAAGTGCTAGCATACCCATCTCTTCGGCCACTTGACACTCTTATGGCTCATACAGCTGGTTGCTATTGCATTGCGATTGACCCAATTGGAAGGTCTGTTACATAGCTGTCTAGTTTCTTTTACGTTGTCGACTTGCTGAAACAATTGGGATAAATAATTTATTCAATCATTGATCCAGCAAAGCAAAATTTTTCCTTTTTTTTTAACCCAATTGGAAGGTCTGTTACATAGCTGTCTAGTTTCTTTTACGTTGTCCACTTGCTGAAACAATTGGGATAAATAATTTATTCAATCATTGATCCAGCAAAGCAAAATTTTTCCTTTTTTTTTTTAAATATATTTTCAACTAGAATTTATCTTGGAAGTGTCACCCTTAAACTTACGTGCTGAGCTGATATGTTTTTTACGCGTACAGATATTTTGCAGTAGGAAGTGCTGATTCTTTAGTTAGCTTGTGGGATATCTCAGAGATGCTTTGTGTGCGGACGTTTACGAAACTCGAGTAAGTTTTCTCTCCTCGTGAACAGGCTCACCCCTATCATGTGGGTCCCGGTTAACTGATTGTTCTGTTCCTTTTCCAGATGGCCTGTTAGGACGATAAGCTTCAACCATACTGGTGAATATATCGCTTCGGCTAGTGAGGACTTGTTCATTGATATAGTGAGTATCCATGTGGTTTACACCAACAGACGTGTGTTCCTATAATTCCACTCCATTATGAAAGAGAAAAACGCTCGATTGGTTGGGCACACCTTTCATTTTCAGCTGTTTATCATCATTACCTTATGGACTAATTTGGTTTGCAGCATAGAAGAATAATGTGTAGGCGCAAATTCGTAATAATAATTCTATTGGGGTCTACTTTTTATTTATTTATTTATAATTAAGCGATAATAGCCCCACTATAGGCTGAGATTGTTGACAATAGTTTCTCTCAACGGAAACAGTCGAATGTTCAAACGGGACGGACGGTGCATCAGATTCCATGTCGGGCTGCTATGAACAGTGTTGAATGGAATCCAAAATACAATTTACTTGTGTATGCCGGGGACGACAAGAACAAATATCAGGCTGATGAAGGTATTCTAGTTTCTCTCCCCATTTGTTGCAATCATATTCTCTATCAGGCTGATGAAGGTTTTTAACTTGTTGCAGGTGTTTTTCGAATATTTGGATTTGAAAGCAGCAGCGCCTGAGATAGAAGTTTTGTTCTTATGTATTTCAGAATTGTTAAATTTAGCAATTTTTAAACCGATATTTTTCTTCTTGTATTATGTACGTCAGGATTCTTCCAGAGCTTACAACAGAAAAATTAAAACAAATTGTGCTATATATATATTTATATGTTTATTGCGTGACATGTTCACTGGCACAACTAGTGTGTATACAGAACAGGGATTAAGCAAGAAGAATAAACAAAAATAATAATAAGCACACAAGCGGTGTGTGTGTTGCTGAGCTTATTATATATATGTATGTTGCCAAAAGAATCGAAACAATTTTCCAAAAAAAAAAACAAAAGAATCAAATCAAAAGGCAGATGAACAACTACTACAAAATTTGCTTTTTTAGCACATCAAAAGTATTCAATTCTCATCATCAGCATCAATATTTTCCGAGTATTATTCAATTCAATTTGCTCGGCAATTGAAACCAGATGATTAAAAATTAATCGGACCAAAGTGCTTCATCCCCTTTTGAAGATGCTGAAGAATATACTCATCTGAAAAGGAAAAGCCTCTAGCGTATACTTCCCCATTCCATGCTGGTGCCTGTCAAATTTCAACCAAACGGGGCAAAAAAATAATAAAACGAAGAACAAACAAAAAATCACATTGCATGAAGATAGATTTGATATTAGTTTATGAGCATACAATGTTAACCACATTATGACAGGTCGCATAACGAGAAGCAGGCTGGGGTCGGGGAATCTCCCAAGCAAAAAAATTATAGCTTATTTTTGAAAATAAAATCCGAATTGAATTTTAATTTAAATTCGATGTCAAATTATGACAACCCGCAATCTCAAAAATCTCATCTCATAGCAAAAAGAAATTATAGCTTGTTTTCGAAAATAAAATTCAAATCGAATTTCAATTTAAATTCGATATCAAATTATGATAACTCGCCGTCTCAAAAATCTCATCTCATACCAAAAAAAAAAATTATAACTTGTTTTTGAAAATAAAATTCGAATCGAATTTCAATTTAAATTCGATATCAAATTATGAAAATCCTCCGTCACAAAAACCCCGTCTCATATTTCGTAGATAATAGTAGGTAGAGTACATTGGTAGGTAAAAAGTACCTGAACGCTCTTGGAGAAGAAGAACCGAGTCCTTTGAGCGAAAAAAAAAATGGCGAGGTCATAGAGCACAAAGGATGAGCTTGGGAGCGGGAAAGGCGAGGCCTGCAAAACAAACGAGGCAAATGGTAATGAGATAGTGAGAGCACCAAGTGATTGGCTTCCACTTGATCTCCACGCTCGAGCTCTTCATCGCCTTCTTCCCCCCGAAAACCGGTTCCTTAGAGAGATCGAAGCTCGATCCCTTCATCCTCAGCTCCATAACGCACCGAGTCAAGGCCCTACCATCACTCCTCTCCCTCAAAAGCTGCCGCCTCACTTTCCACAGCCTCAACAGCTTCACGTGAGCCAATGACACCAAAAAAACCGACGTCAAACCCGATAGGAGACCCGGTATCCACCATTTTTTACAAACATGGTCTTGCTCTTCCTTGGAGTGGATTGAAGAGGTGAAGAGCAGGATCAAGAAGAAGGCGTGGAAGAGGAAGAAGGAGCAGCAGAGGTGGAAGATCTCTTGTCTTGTGGACTCGAGTCGGGTTTCTTTACGGGCAATTCTGCGGCCATAGAGATCCTCCTCTCTCTGCCAGAGCTTGAGGAGGAGGAGATGGCCGGGGCTTTGGGAGATTTCCGTTAATGGGTGGTGGTGGATTGCCGACATCACCATCTCCATGTTGTTGTTGTTGTTGTTGAGATTTTTTCGCTTGTGTTCTTCGTCGACCGGGATTTCGACCACCACGTGGGATTCTTTCGATTCCCCCATTGCCGATTACTGGTTACTGATTAGAATAAACTGAAGGAAAATAATAAAATCTGAAGAACTGAGATAAAGAAAAAATGAGAGAACAAAACAACGTGCGGAGAAAAAAATGAATGAAGGAGAAATGTTGGGAGCTTTGAGGAATGTTTGCTGAGAGATGGAGAGAGAAATGAATTGTTGTTGTTGAAGTTTTAGTGAGAGAAAGAAGAAGAAGAAGAAGAGTTTGGTACTTAAGCTGGGATTTGTTGGGGAGGAGAGAGGGAGAGAGAGGGGAAGTCGGATTTTGTAACGGTTACTTTTGTTCTTCTTCTAGCTTTCCAAACGGTCTAATTCTTGGTTCATTTATTTTATTTTATTGGTTTTTTCCCCAACGGTAACATATTAATCTTATATGGGCTTCAGAACAAGTCAGGGCCCAAGATGCTAAAGCCCCAGCAGCTAATAATTAGCCCAGTTGTGGGGCCTTTACTTTCATGTCATGTCATCAAGGGCTTTGTCTGGCCCAATGGTTTGATAATAAATGGATGGAATTTATTAAAAGGAAATAGTAAAAAATATGTGAATATGAAAAGTTTAAGAAAGTATATAGGTTAATTTTTAGTTATAAAAATTAATAGGTTATAACTTATCAAGTTATAGTTCATAATCAGATAAGTTATGGATAAACTTGTCAAGTTATGGTTCATAATCAGATAAATTATGGATAATTATAGACAATAACTTGTCAAATTATGGTTCATAATCAGACTAGTTATGAACGAAAACAGTAATTTAGACTATTTATTAACTTATGTAAATTATGGCCTATTAATTTTAAGTCATCTCAAGTTTTGACCTATTTTTCTCTTTCTCCCTTTATTAAAAATCTGCCTTGTACATTATCCCCCCTCCCCTATACATACTTTCTAATATTCAGAAATTATAAAAATAAAAATAAAAACTTGAAATTTGTTTCAATTTTCAAATTTCTCTTCTTGGTTAGATCGAGATAGATTTGTGTATTCTTTCTGGCTCATCCTTACTAAACACTCTACGTATATGAACAAACATTGATATATTTATGTGATGATAGTTATTACATTTTTATTTTTATATACACACAAGTAAATACACTCACAATCCCGTTAGGCCTACAAATGCCTTTACGAAGATGAGTACATAACAGACCTATAAGTGGAATCTATTAAATTACACCTTTTAGGCAATTACAACTTGAGAAATTGTAACATATAGCAATTTTTCTAAACTTTAAGTAATAAATATCATAATTATTTTTTTAGTTAGTAAATAAAAAATTCTTAAAAATCTGAATTTATTTTTTCTATTTTACTCATATTTTAAATTATAGCTACCATTAAAAGCCTAAAATTTTTTTCTAAAATTGAAAAATCCTAAAATTTCTCTCTCCTCTCTCCCCCTCAACAAAGCATGTTTTCTTTCTCTTCCTCCCCTCTTTCTTTCACAGTGCTCTCTCTCAATAGGTTCTCTCTCTCATCTCTTCATCTCTTTCAAGATTCTCTCTCCTCAGCTCTCTTTTTCTTGGTTGTCTCTTTACTTGTTCGCTTTCTCTCACTTGGCTCGCTCACTCTCACTCTCTTCACTCACACTCTCTCTCTGCTGAGGGCTATGCAACTCTTTCTTGTCAGAGATGGTCAGCCATAGCACAGACGAGAATCAAAGACGAAGGAGGCTAGATCTGAGGAGGAGAGGCGAGGTTTAAAAAGGGGTATTTTCGGACTTTTTAGAAAATTATGATCTTTAAATTTGCTATTATTTTTCATACTAAAAAAATATGCTATAATTTTTTATTGACATTTTAAAATATGTTATTTCTCTTATTCTTCCTTACAACTTCCAAACAATTGTAACTTAATAGGGTCCACTTATAAGTTTATTATGTCAGAAATAGTGTCTTTAAAACATGAGATGTAACATAACAAGATATTGAATGAGTATATTACGTTAATAGGGTTCCGCTATATTAACAGTGCGGATAACACAATTCCATTCCAATATAACGAGATATTAAATGAGTGTATTACGCATAATGAGATTATGTAGAACATAAACATAGACACAATATGAATTTATGATCATTTCAGTTAAGAATAGAAATTCTAATTGAGTCTACCGATAGTCATATATAGAACGATCTTAATCCTGAGTTATTAACATACTCCTAATTGTGGATTTATGTCTTTTGACTTATTCGGTATGGATTTTGATATTACTAAATCCTATTCCTTGTATCTTGGATACATGATGAAGTGGATAGCTGATAATGTTAATATACGAGATGAAATCCATTCTTTTTTAAGAAAGAAGCAGATACATAATTCTCTTTAGGGTTGATTCAGTACTTGGATTAGTAAGAGCTCCGATTCATGAATTTGTTTTATGAATCACTATCCATTAGAGAATCAATGGTACTCAAGGATAAAAAGATGTAATTAGAGAGGTTAACAAATTTTTACCTAGCTCTAATTATGAATTATTTATGGAGGATTGATTTATATATAGTGACTATATCAAATGGACTCTTCAAGTTATTAGAAGTAAATAAATGTCTATAATTTTGAGAGTGCAATTTTAAGTTTTTAGTGGAGTAACTTTTAGAATTAATAGAATTAATTAATTAATTATATAGTTTAATTAATTATTAATTTTATTGGAGTTTAGAATTATAGGTCCATGAGTCCCCGCGTCATCCTTGTAATATTTGTGAGACAAGATAAATTATTAGAATTTAATATCACTCGAAATAAATAATGTGATTATTTAATTTAATTAATTTTAGAATATATTGTGGTAGGACCACTGTTGGGATATGTGTCCTTAAGCATGAGATGTAATGAGTATATTTTATTATTTGATTAATAAAAATATTTATTCATTATTTATGTGCATGTATTATAGAATACTTGATGAATATCATCAAAAATTTCGTGATTATTTATGTAACATTAAATATTGATATAAGTGTTATATACGAGAGGATAATATTTAAGGATAATAATCGAAACGACATTCGTAATAAATTTAATTAAAGGTTTAGAATCTTTAATTAAAACATTACTAATACATGTCATTCCCATTAAGAATGAAATGGTGTTATCTGCATCATTAATATAGAGGGATATTGAATGAGTGTATTATGCATAATGAGATTATGTAGAATTGAGACACATACACAATTTGATTTTATGATAATTTTCGTTAAATATTGAAAATCAAATTTGAGTCTACCGATGATCATATATAGAATTATCTTAATCCTGAGTTATTAGTAGACTCCTATTTATGGATTCGTGTTCTTTGACTTACTCGATACAGATTTCGAGATCTTAAATCCTATTCCTTTTATCTTGGGAACATGATGAAATGGGTAGCCGGGAATGCTAATATACAAGATGAAATTCATTCCTTTTTCTTTGAAGAAGCAGATAAATAATTCCCTTGAGGATTGATTCGTTACTTGAATAAGTAACGAGCTCGTATTCATGAATGTGTTTTATGAATATACTATTTATTAGAGAATCAATGATACTCAAGGATAAAGATGTAATTATAGAGGTTAGCGGATTTTACCTAACTATAATTTTGAATTATTTATGAAGGATCGATTAATATGTAGTGACTATATCAAATGGACGCTTTAAGTTCTTAGAAGTAAAGTATGTCTATAATTTCGAGAGTTTAACTCTAAGATTTTAGTGGAGTAACTTTTGAAATTAATAGAATTAATTAATTAATTAAAGAGTTTAATTAATTATAAATTTTATTGGAGCTCAAAATTATAGGTCCATAAGTCCCCCCGTAGTCCCCGTCATCCTTGTATTATTTGCAAGACAAGATGAATTATCGAGATTTTGTTTCACTCGCGAATAATTAATTGAGAATTAATTATACATTAAATAATGTGATTATTTAGTCACACACTGTGGTGGGACCACATGGGGCATGTGACACCGGAAAAAATCTCACCGGGATTTTAGTTGTTTGCTCTCCAAGTAATCCGGTTTACTTGTGCGACAAGTTTTTCCAATTAAATTCAATAAGGGAAGTAAGATGTTACTTTATTTGGAGTTGAATTTAAGCCAAAATTGAAAACTAGATTAGGAAGGAATTTTCTTCTTATTTCCTAAGAGATGGCCGGCCACCCTATAGCAAAAGGGAAGGAAAGTTTGTTTTCAAAAGAAAAAGGGGAACTATATTTTTAATGAGATTAAAAATATAGTAGTTACCAATTTCTTATTTTCTTTGTTTGCTAGCAAAGACTTCTCCTAATTATCTATAAATAGGAGACAATAGAGATTGGAGAAGGTTGATTGATTTTCTCATAACTTTGCTAGGTTGGCCAAAAGTCCTATGAGAGAAAAAGAGAAGAAAAGTTCTTCCAATTTTCTCAATTCTTTCACATACAAGCGTTGATAGTGAAAGAATACTAAACTAGTGAGCGAACGTTTCGATAGTTATACCTTGAGCCCACACTCATCATCTTGTGAAATCAAGGAGTAGACGAGAAAGGCTTAGGTGTTCTAAGAAAGCTTTTGGAGTGAGGAACGTTCGTTGGCTAAAGACCTCAAGTTCTCTTCCTAATTGTTAGCATTGTATCTTTTCTTACATATTAATGAGATTAATTTATTTTGGCATAAATTAATATATTCTATAACATATTCAAAAGGTTTTATGAAAATTTTTTGTTATATATTATCCGCACCACCACGCTTCCGCACCTAAAAAAAGTTTCGAAAACCAACAATTGGTATCAGAGCGGTCTATAGACTATATTAATTTTTGCTGTGATGACGTGTCAACCGAGAAATTTATCAGAATTATTGTGTAGAATAATATTTCCTAGAATGCTTTGTATTATTAATATGAATACTTTTATGATAAGTATTTGTTGATATAAATAGGAAATGGTGAGTTATAAGTTAAAAATCAGAAATTTCTGAACTACGATATAGTTACAGATTTTTGAACAATGTTTAAGAAAGAAGTAAGGAACGTTGTGTTAAACCCACAAGTGGGTAAGCACATGAATGTTAAGGTTAAGAAATGAGAAGGAATTGAAAGAAATCAATTCTAGGGTTTTAGAAACAATCAAAATGAAAAATGGATGAAAAAGGGGCTCGGAAGGCCGAATCGCGTAAATTGGGGTTTCGACTGATTTAA